AGACTTACATTAGATATATGTAGTGATAATATAATGCATGCAATGATCATTTGAATTATACCAACATTATAAAACATGTTTGTTGCAATTAGCTGTCACAACTTAAAAAAAAGTTGTCGTTTAATACAACTTCACATTGAAAGTTGACTAAACTTAAAATTTAAGGCAGCTCGAACATTTTGTCTAACCTACGATTTGCAACACTAATCCTTCTTATAAAATGTCTTTTTCAGTCGTTACCCAGAAGCAAAGGTGATCAACTTTGGCACCTGGTTCATCTTCAGTTTGCCGATCGCTTTGATCATGCTGATACTCACTTGGATCTGGCTTCACTTTTTATTCCTGGGATGCAAGTAAGAATAAAAGAGAGACGTGTTTTATTATTATTTTGAAATGATTTTTGTGAAACTTGCTGAACTCAGAAGCTGTTTTCTCTTCAGTTTCAGAGAGACTTGCTCTCTCAGCAAGAAACGCAAAACCAGGCGAGAGATCCTCTCTGAGAAACGCATTCATGAGGAGTACCAGAAACTCGGCCCCATTAGGTAGACAGTATAAAAAAAAATTTTTCGCTATAGTGTTTCACAAGAAAATACTATTTTTTAGACTTTAAAATTCTAAATTATTTACATTTTGTAGTAATTATTTGTCAAATTTACTAGCAATTTCTGAGTGAAAATGGTTTCAAAGTAAATCCTACACCATTTTTTTGTGTACAATAGATAGATAGATAGATAGATAGATAGATAGATAGATAGATAGATAGATAGATAGATAGATAGATAGATAGATAGATAGATAGATAGATAGATAGATAGATAGATAGATAGATAGATAGATAGATAGATAGATAGATAGATAGATAGATAGATAGATAGATAGAACTTTTACAGATCTTCTGATTTCAAAAAGATTTGATATTGATGTTGTGACTAATAAACAGTTTTTCTCCTGATGCACAGCTATCCCGAAGTCGTGACAGGCATCTTTTTTATTCTGATGACCGTACTTTGGTTCACCAGGGAGCCAGGATTTGTCCCCGGCTGGACATCACTTTTTGAGAAGTATGAGGACATCTTATGTTAACCCTTATACAGCCAAGAAATTGATTTCCATTTCTTTTTAGAAGAGCCATTTTGTTGCTTTGATGCTTACTAAAAGCCTCTAGATTCACTAAACGTCCTGTAATTCGCAGGAAGGGCTACAGGACTGATGCCACGGTGTCTGTGTTGCTCGGCTTCCTCCTCTTCCTCGTCCCTGCTCGAAAGCCATGGCCATCTGCATTCTCCAGCGAGAGCAAAGGTCAGATCCCATGCTGCCCTCAGCAGGAGCGCTCCACACTTGAATGTAGCCGCGAGTACTCGCTCAGCAGGCTGATGCTGTAATACACACCACCAGGGTCTAATTGTACAACCAGTTCATTCAGGTTGAGGACATCAGAGCAAAGGTGACTGTTCTCGACGGTGCACCCTGTTGGCCGGGTTTGCTAAGTGCTCTTGTCTCTGTTATCTGTGCAGATGATGATGATGATGATGACGATGATGAGGAGGAAAAGGACCCTCTGGCCCCGATGATCACATGGAAAGACTTCCAGAGACTGATGCCGTGGGAAATTGTTATTCTGGTTGGAGGAGGATATGCACTGGCTGCCGGGTGCAAGGTGAGCGTGTCTGAAAGGATGTGTTTCAGGTTGAGTTTATGAGAATATGATCAAATTTAAATTCTAAATATAAATAATATAAGTACAATTATGAAAGAACGTGACAATGCAATGTTAATTTTATTTTATATAATTATTATTTAATTATTATCATCAGTATTTTATTTTATATCATTTTTATAATTTACTTTTTTATTACTGTATTCCTTAATGAAACATACATTTTTAAAAGTTTTTAAATGTATTTTAATATTACATTATTTATGTTATTTTGTTGTAATATTACAGTATAATATGACCCCAAAAATATTTTTATTTTATTACATTACGTTAAATTACATTGTAATATTAACAGTGTAACTAACATAGTTAAAATTGTCAACTAAAAGCCAAAATAGTCTTATATTAATATCTTTTAATCAATAATATATAATATAATTTATTTTTAAAAATGTTTAATATTTAAGATTCCATGTTGATTTGGATAAAAGTGTCTCCCAAGAGTAAAAATATTAAGAAGTAGCATTTCCCTTAAAATCACACCAAAAAATGAAGCATATTGTAATAAATCATAATTTTAGAGAAGTGCTTTGTGACGACAGACAGAATCTTTTCTAGAATCTCAACTTGTGTGTAAATGAACCATGTGACTTCTCTCGGGCAGGTGTCTGGGCTCTCCATGTGGATTGGTCGGCAGCTGGAGCCAATGAGTGGTCTTCCTCCCTGGGCAGTTACGCTGCTAGCGTGTCTTCTCGTGTCCGCCGTCACAGAGTTCGCCAGCAACCCCGCCACGCTCACAGTGTTTCTGCCCATCCTCTCCGCCTTGGTCAGAACACGCCCGAAAGACCAGTCTCACACAAACAAATGAATCTGCATGAAAGCGTTTTGTTTCACAGTGGTGTTCTGTCTCGAATGACCCTGTGTCTCCTGTCCCCTCACAGTCAGAGACGCTGCAGATCAACCCTCTACACACACTCATCCCTGCCACCATGTGCGTGTCCTTCGGCGTCATGCTGCCTGTTGGAAACCCGCCGAACGCCATTGTGTTCAGTTATGGACACGTGCAGATCAGCGACATGGTATGAAACAACATTATCCTGTTATATCACCTCTGTTACGTCTCACAGCTGTGCCAGGAACGCAAAGGTCACTAATCATTTGTTTTTCATAAGCACGTCTATAAAGTGCCCACAAACTGAGGGCCATTCGGTGGAACAGGTGCTGCTTTCAAAGAGTGCATTTTACACAATAAATACTGGGTTAAGTGTTGATCAATTGAATTGTTCCAACTGAAGAAAAGTTATTTAACATTTCAATATATTTTAGGATAAGGCTTCAGAAAAATAACAGGGCTGATTGTAAACAGGTTTGCAATCTTAACATGACATTTTAAGATGGTCCCCTAATGATTAACATAGCAAATCTAAATAAGAAGGATTAAAAAGAGGAGACAATAGCTTTAAACATTTTTTTGTTTCCTTGTGAGAGTTTTAAGAGCTTTAAAAGGGGGGAAATATTTCCATTAAAATTTGTAATTAAACATTATTTTAAAATCTATTATCTAAATAATCTAAACTATTATTTTATTAAGACTATTATTTTACGTATTCTGTTACTTATTTAAATGCATATTGATAATAATCAATTTTAAAAAATTGGTGGTGTTTTGAAAACGTTTCCATTTTAAAGGCATCAGCATCAGATAAAAATTAAATTTTAAAATTATTTTAACTAAAATATATCAATTAATAATTTATATGTTATATAAGAAAAAACAACTACAGCTTCATAGTCAGTTACTAATATTTTGTTGGTTCTCTCTTGTTATTTTACATGTGTTTCATTGCGGTTATCACAAATAAACAGTTGACTGCAAGCACAACTATGCAATTTGCTCTCAAAATCTTTAACACATATCCAATAATATTTGAATAAAGGATGATATCAATTTTCCTAAGCCGGGCGATACTTTTGGCCACTGAACCACAGCACACAAATAGCAACACATTTGTAGAAAGACTCTTACTAATTCTATGAACATATAAATCAATTCAGTGTGGGAGGGACAACAAACGGCTATTTACAGTATTAACTGTATTATTGACTATTTGTTTTTACCTAAATAAATGGGACAATGGGCATGTTTCTCTAATGGATGCTCGTATACTGACAAAAGTTGTTTTCTCCCTGTGATTCACAGGTCAAGGCTGGGTTCGGAGTGAATCTGATTGGAGTTTTTGTGGTCATGTTGGCCATAATGACGTGGGGAGAGCCTCTCTTCCATCTGAGCGAGTTCCCCACCTGGGCGGTGATGCGTAACGTCACGGGCAGCTTGTAGCCGGAGGTGGGCGGCACAGGCGTGAGTGTTTGACACGTAGGGACTGAGGACACTGGATATACACTGAAGAAAGCATATAAATGTGATTAAGGCCTTATTTTTCCCCCCGTCCATGGAGAAAGAGAGTAGCCGTGACACCTCCGTCGGAGGATGCAGAACTGTTCACTGTGACTGAATGAACGGCACAAACGGGGAAAAATATACTCTTACACTTCTATATCAATGTTGCCTTAAAGTATTAGGCGTAGATTAACATCTTTACAGCTGAATGCACAAGTTTACGTGCCTACAAAACACAATCAGCAATGCTTGTGTGTGCCACTGAATGTAACATGTCTGTATGCTTTATTTTCTGATGTCTAACAAATGTTGTGTTACATTTGCATTATTTACTTGAGAGGTTTGAGGGAGATTTTGCATCAGGCCTATTTGCAGTTGAAGTCACTGCTGAAATCAAACATAGTATCTAAAATGCTCTTACCAAAATGTTACATAGTTTATATGTGGTCACGTTACAGAAGATTATTTCAAATCCTTTGTTATTCAATAAACCTCTGTGCTTTTTGAAGGAGGCCATTAAAGGTATAGTTCACCAAAAATGAAAATTCTGTCATCATTTACTCACCCTCAAGCTGGTCTCAACCTGTACGAGTTTCTTTCCTATGTCGAAACTAAAAGAAGATATTTTGAAGAATTTTTGTAACCAAACAGCTTCTGGTCCCCATTGACTTCCATAGTATTTTTTTCTATGGCAGTCAATGGGGACCAACAACTGTCTGCTTACCAACATTCTTCAAAATATCTTTTGTGTTCAACAGAACAAAGAAATTCATACAGGTTTGGAACAACTTGAGGGTGAGTATATGATGAAAGAATTTTCATTTTTGGGTGATCGTTGTACATACAGGAAACATTTTGTTATTGTCGGCCACCCATTGTTTGCCTAGTCACCAGCAAATCATTGTAATATGTTCTGTGATCTCTGAAACATAATAAAACACTGTATTTTTGGTTCATTTATTTATTTTGCTTTTCAGGCATTACATTGAAGCTCCATGCAGCACAAACTCATTGAGATAAATGATGATAAATAAGACAAAACCACAATGTTTTATATAGGCTAGGAAAACTTTTAGTTGTCAAGAGTCCAGTGGCTATAATTTTGATGCTCCTTCAGTTGGTTCATAGCCCTCATTTTGTATTTTCTCCTTATACTTCAAGAAGTCCCTCCGTTTGATGAAATACTTCACCTGCCGATGAATAACAACAATCAGTTCATGTACGTGCATTGTGAAATTCAACAGAAGACACTTGCCCTTGTGAAAAAGAAGTGTGCTTAATTGTATTGAAGGTGCACTTGTAGTGTACTTCAAATCCTAAAAGTAGATATTTCTAAAAACTGTAACAATATTAATGAAATAAAAGGTTACTTAAGTGTACATATTAAGTGAGTATATTAAGTGTTTTAAAAGTATTTGTAATAAGATCAAATGAAAAGTTTCACTTTAAAACATTGTTTTAATATTTTTTTGTTATATTTTAAAGTACACTTACTTTATGTGTTGACTAACATACTAAAGCACACTAAACCACCATATTAGAGCTTTCTGTCCCTCCATAGACAGCTAGCTATGCAACTACCACTTAGCAACATGACATCAAGACTTTTGCGTAAACATATATGCCACTTTCGAGTCAGGTGGCGTGTTATCTCCACGCTACTTCATGAGATCAGTCTGCACTTAGACACATCAGAAATTTCATAAAGAGGTCATAAAACTAATCCATTTGAATTAAGCGGTTTAGTCCAAATTTATTGAAGAGACTCGACTGCTTTGTATGATGAACAGATTGAATTTAGGCATTTATTCACATATAAATATTCATGCACACATCAGTTGTGGTAAACAAGCTCAACCATGTTCGCTTGATGTTCAAGAACCAATGAGGTTCATTCTCATGTTACGCAGCACGTTTGAGCTTCAGCAAGAACCAATGAGCTTTGTTCTCGTACACCAAGCAGGTTCGGTTGAGCTTGAGCGTCAGTTTGTGTTTGCTTATCAATGTTTACATGTGAATAAAAGCCTAAATTAAACCTATTCATCATATAAAACAATCGAGTCTCTTCAGAAAACTTGGACAAACCACTAAATTAATATATGGATTAGTTTAAGTTATCTTTATGAACTTTTTGAAGCGTGAAAGTGGCAGTTACGAAGCTGTCAACTGAGATATCTCTGACTGCATTCAAAAGTGAAACGAAAGTTGAACGAAAAGTCTAACGGGTTTAGAATGAAGGTGAGTAATTAATGACAGAGTTTTCATTTATGGGCAGACTAAATACTTCAAAAGTATTATATTTATACGTTTTCAATAATCAAGTATAATGTTTCCGAAAAGGTATGCTACAGTGTGCACGTCTTTTTCACAAGCGTGGCTACATTGAGAGGAAAATATTAGTGTACTTATTACTAAATGTTGTATGCCATAACAATGAAATAGGCTATTAAGTGTGCATATCAAGGCAATGTAAAAATAAAATGTTTTAGTTTCATTCAAAAAACCTCAACTTTCGTGACAGCTGCTGCAATTCAAATTAAACGCAGGTGTCAATGAGATCGTTATGTTTCTGCACTCAGAACTATTGAATCAGTACTATGGACAGACCCACTGGGCAGGACACTTGTCTTCAAACTCCAGCTGGTGTTTCTCGCAGGCAGATGCGCTGTCTCGATGGACATCTAGACACTTCCAGAGCTCATCTCTCGCGCTCCAGCAGGCCTTGCGTTCACTGGCGTTAGGAGCGCTCATCTCTCCTCAGTCATTCTGCAGGTTTGTCAACAACTTTTAACACTCTTATTGTTCAATATAAACGTTACAAAAAATGTCATTAACATTAAGGACATGTTTAACCATTAGTGAACTGTCATGCAGACTGGTGTGTTTTACCAGAGAACACAAATGAGAGATAATTGTGGCTGACAGTTCGGTAAAGAAAGCAAAACTCGCTTACCAAATACGATTCATCACCTCAAAAGCTTTCTGTAATTATTATTAACCTAATAAAAGTGTTAATCAGCCATATTCTGAAGTCCCAAGGACGCGTTGAGGAAGTAATGCGACTCTACAACAACACTAAACATGTCGCCTTTTGATGACTCAAGCCAAGCCATTGCGTAAAATGTAGTTCTCCCAGTGACAGCTAGATGGTGCACTTAAAACATTTTAATCTCACTTCTAATGTATAAATGTGTTTCCTCTTATCAAAAGACATTTGCTCATTGATATATGTAATGTCGGCCCTCATTACTGCCTCCAGAAAATGATGCCACAATATAGGAGCAGTTAAAACTCAGGAACTTTCAAACAGAATTTTGTCCAAATCTTTTGAGGCTTTTCAGTTTTTCATGTCTTCAATTTGATCCCATCCCATGCATTCATAAGTCAGCACTAAGAAAGAAAATCCTTTTTGCTGCTTTTTTTTCCCAGAAGTTTCTCCCCATGCATGTTTTGAAGTCCTCGTGTTCCTCTTGATCCCAGTGACTCATCGTGGCCATTAACAAACAGGAATTAATTGTGTGGGAATGCTATTGAAAGTGAGCTCCTTTGTAGGGACAGAGAGTGTCCATTGTTCAGTACTGAATGTTAAAGAGAAAGAAGAGCACAAACATTTGAGGCCTTAGATAAACTCTCATCGATTGAAAAGATAGTTCCCCCCCTCCATAATTACTAATTAACAACAGACCTTGAGATCCAAGATGAAAATGAAATATGATCTGATCTGATTTGTGTGAAAACCCATTTCAACCACATAAGAAAATAAATCGTGCTTTCAAAAAAAATCATAATTGACAAGTCTAAATCTAGTCCCAGACAAGCAACCTGCACTGATATATCTTAAAATATGTAAGATGTCTCAAAATGCACCAGTAATGTTTTTTTTTTTTATAAGGCGCGTTTATCAAAGCTACTATATGTCCTAATTGAACTTATCCTGGCTTAATCTAAGCCCCGTCTGTGAAACCAGGCCTCATAATTTAGTATATAACTTTTTATCTCATAAGTTCAATATTCTAAATGAAGATTTACCAAAGCTTTTTTCTTCTTCTTTTGTGTCAGAAATTGGCTTATAGTTTTTTACAAGGACAGTCATGTTTTCGTGTTCCACTTTTTGTTAACTTTGAAGTGCTGATTCTTTCATCTCGGTCTGTGTTCTGGATTGTTAGTCGTGTGTGATTATGGGTCAGCGCTGGGCTGTTAGATTTCTTCTCTGTCTCTTTTCTCTCTCAGTTGCTAAGGAACTGAAATGTGGCATAAGTTGCTGTCATGCTTCTGAGTTTCAGCACCTATTAGCGATCAAAGTGATTTCAGTAATCTGCAGTGTTTTAATAGTTTAATAAGCACACCATTGGGACCGGCGAACCAAATCGTCTAATTAGCATTCAATAAAGACTCAAGTCAGGACAGAGTAAAAGCATGATAAATGACTTGCAGCTTGCAATGAAAAACGCCGCAGCTTGTGAGGATCACAGCTGTAGATCTCATTACTTACTGTATTACATGTCAAAACATTCATTAATAACAGATTAATCCTTCATGCCACTGGCATGCCAACAAGAAAAAGCACATCAAATCCATTAACATAAGTGCATCATTTGTGCTCCAAAGCAAACTAAAACCACAAACTTCAAATGTTTTCATGGAACAGTTTGAAAGTTAAAAGTATGTAGTTTAAGTACTTGGGAAGTTCTGAGTGGTTTTAAGATTTGTTAGATTTCAAGCCAATAAGTATATAGAAAGAGCATTAAAAATATACTGCTTGTTGTGTATATTTTTTTGTATTTCCAATGTTACCTTCACCTAAAAAACTGTTCTCTGGATTCCTGAGGCAAAGGGATTACGAGTTATTCAGCTGATGTTGGAGCTTTTTTGTGTGTGTGTTTCTTTTCTTGTGCGATTAGAAGTCGCACACCGTTGTCCTCTTTTCAGCATGTGCATGTGTGATTTTTCATCTCTCTGAGGGGGATAGAGAGACAGGGGTCTGTGTTCAGATGAAAAGCCCTCAGCGCTCTTCCTTTGGGCCCCTCTCTCTCTTTTTCTCTCTCTTTTGGGCTCAAGGAGCCCTGATGTCACATTTCAGAGACTTACTTCAATGCCATGGTGTGTTGTGAAGGGATGGAGTGAGCTGTGTGAATGGCTTCCATCACACCCCAGGGATGCTCATCAACACACTGTTCCTGGAGAATAAACCTTCACAGGACTCACTTGTGTATATAGGGTGCAGGAAGGGTGTTATTTGTCCAGTGTTTACTGGTTTTATGTTTGTGCATTGGTTGGAAAAAGTGCTCAAACCATAAATTTTATTAAGGAGAAATGTGCTATTCCTGTCTGAGCAATCAGACTACTTTATGATTCTTGCCTTGTGGATGTTGAAACTTGTGAAAAATCCCATAGACCACAACACCCTATAGCAATCACCATAGTAACCACTTAGAAATGCCTTAGCAACCACCAAAACACCCTAGTGAACACACAGCAACCACAAAGCTCTTGTAACCACTTAGTAATACATATCAATCACCGATACACCCTCCACCTAGCAACTCCCTAAAAAGCATCCTCGCAACCATTTAGTAGTGCCTTAGCATCGGCCAAAACACTTTATTAATGACAAAGCACCCTGGTGACCACATAGCAACCTACTAAAGCATCCTGGTAGTCAGTTAGCAACCACTAAAGCACTTCAGTAAACACACAGCAATCACAAAGCACCCTAGTGACCACATAGCAACACCTTAGCAACCACCAAAGCACCCTAGTAAACACACAGCAACTAATCACAAAGCACCCTAGTAACCACTTATAAACGCCCTAGCAACCACAAAATTGCCCTTATAACTACCCTGATTGCAAACGCAAATAGTAATCACAAAGCACCCTAGTAACCACCCAGCAACCACCCTGGTAACCACCAAGGAATATTTAGAAACCACAAAATACACCCTAGTAACCACTTGGCAACTACCAAAAGCACCCTAGTAACCACTCCGAAATGTCGTAGCAACCACAAAACCCTGCTAATAAACGCAACAAGTCGTACATGGGCAAAGTCCATTCTAAATCTAGTAGTATGCCATTTTTATGGTTGTAAAATGCAAAACTGAGAAGTCTGTTCATAATATGTAGATAGTGAACCCCCCGCAGATAAATAAGCAGGGGGATTTCGAACGGCCCCTGTAGTGAGATCTGCATTGATTTGCAGCGCGTGGCAGGGTGCCAGGAATAGAGCAGCACAGCTGGTTGTCGATATTGTTGATATCAGTCTCCACATCCAACCGTGGACAAATCATCAGTTCGATCCAGCCAGTGCAACCGCACAGAGAAACGCAAAAACCCAACCAAGGCAGAAGCCCGAGGTCACGTGATGCGAATGAGCGGCTCTTTCTCTCATAGTGGAGATGCTTATCTAGAGTAACTCAATCCTCATGTGTGAAGGGAGGACCCTGTGAGGTTGTTGTTATGCCATTTACGGCACCTTCAGTTGTAAACCGATCTGCCTCTTTCACTAAAGCAGATCATGGATTCTAGACGCATCTGACAGAAACTAAAGATGCCATTGATTCAAAGTTGTCTGGGCGTTTCGAGTCAGTGGAACTAATCTGGAGGTCGTGATTGGCTGAAATCTTAACACGCCTTCTTCCTCTTCACTTTTACGACTGACCGATACAATCCCCAGTGCCGTGTTTGCCTCAGTGTGACCCCTAACTCTCTCCCTCTTTCACACAGTCTCTCTTTTGGTGGCTTTTGTCCACCTCCCAGTGTATTATTGTCATCTAAACGTCCCCAATTAACAATGCTGCTCCTTTTTCTGAGAGTTGAGACCTGGATCTCCATCAGGGTCACTGTTTTTCTTAAAGGGGTAGTTAACTTTTAAAAGAACTTTTGCTGATAATTTACTCACCCCCATGTCATCCAAGATGTCCATGTCTTTCTTTCTTCAGTCGAAAAGAAATTAAGGTTTTTGATGAAAACATTCCAGGATTTTTCTCTATATAATGCAATTTACTGGTAACCACCAAACAGTTCAAGGTCCAAAAGATAGTTTCAGTGCAAACTGTAAACTGTTCAAAGGGCTTTAAACGATTCCAGACGATGAATAAGGGTCTTGTTAAGCGAAACTATCGCTCATTTAAAAAAAACAACAACAACAAAGTTTAAGATTTATAAGCTCAAATGGTCGCCTTGCTCTATTCTGTGATGCACGTTCGTGACTCTCCTGTTCGAACTCATTTATCAAAATGAACAAATATTTTTTTCGTGTCATTTGGTTCATTCAACGAACGAAATGAACAAACTGACTCGGAAAAAGAATAGTTTAGTTTGATGAACGAGGTCGAACATGAGAGTCACGAACGCGCATCACAGAACAGAGCAAGGTGACCATTCATTGCCTAAAATCGTTTAAAGCCCTTTGAACAGTTTGCAGTTTGCACTGAAACTGTCTTTTGGACCTTGAACCGTTTGGTTCCCATTGAAGTCCACTATATGGAGAAAAATCCTGGAATGTTTTCATCAAAAACCTTAATTTCTTTTTGACTGAAGAAAGAATGACATGGACATCTTGGATGACATGGGGGTGAGTAAATTATCAGCAAACGTTTTTTTTTAAAGTGAACTACTCCTTTAAGACCCCTGAATGGCAGAGAATTGAAGAATAAAGGAGGTGCACTGTTTACCAGTCAAAAATAACGCAGCATTGTTGACATAATCGAACACAATTGAAATGATTGAAATGATTGCAAAGGTGCATCGGTGCATATTTCGACCACTGAACCCACGGGAACCGTGTTTCAAGCACATCATCAACAGGTTTTGTTGAGTCTAAACTGGGCGGTGTAGACGTGTACAATGCGCTTCTCTGAAAGCTGAAGGAGCTGTATCAAGCTCACCCTTATAAAAGCCGTCCAGCAAGTGAAGTAGGTGCCCTGAATAAATTATGCAAATTTAGCAGAAAGGATAACAACAGGGAGTGCAGAAACAGTGTGATTCTGTGAGATTTAGAACAGGCACAAGATGTAACCACATGCTTTTCAGAGTGTAAGAATCAATCATTTTTGTCATACATAGACAATATAAGACATGAATCTAGCAATTGTGTAAA